TATATATATATATATATATATATATATATATATATATATATATATATATATATATATATATATATATATATATATATATATATACTCTTGCATGGTAGTGAAAAAGAGTTTCCCATAAACTGTAGTTTTAAAGAGCGCATTAATAAACCAGACCAGAAAAAATTTAAAAACTTAATTTTTTTTTTTTTTTAAATGATAGACTGCCTGCCCAAACCAAACCCTCAGTCGATGTAGCAGCACTCCCTTGCGAGTCAGGCTATTTGTCAGTCGTTGTAGCAGCACTCCGTTGCGAGTCAGGCTATTTGTCAGTTGATGTAGCAGTACTCCGTTGCGAGTCAGGCTATAAGATAATCGATGTAGCAACATTAACGCATGTTTTAAAAATGTTTTTTTATAAAACAAAAACAAAAACACCGCTAATTTAACTTTCTAGTCGTTATTATTGCAGTTTTTTAAAATTTTTTTAAAAAACAATAAAATTTAATGTACTTCCGCATTAATTTAATTGCTTTGACATTTCAACGACAATCAAATACAGCTTAAGAGACAAGGTAATTAAAAATGTAATCGAAAGAGACTTTTTTTACATTAAAAGACTCTTTCGACTACACTATAAGGATATATATATATATATATATATATATATATATATATATATATATATATATATATATATATATGTATATATATATATATATATATATATATATATATATATATATATATATATGTATATATATATATATATATATATATATATATATATAATAATTATAAATATATTAATTTTTATATATATATATATATAAATATATATATATATATATATATATATATATATATATATATATATATATATATATATATATATATATATATATATATAGTTATAAATATATTAATTTTTATATATATATAAATATATATATATATATAATTATAAATATATTAATTTATATATATATATATATATATATATATATATATATATATATATATATATATATATATATATATATATATATATATATAATTATAAATATATTAGTTTTTATATATATATATAAATATATATATATATATATATATATATATATATATATATATATATATATAAAATATAAAGATTATAAGATCTTTGTTTAGTTGTTATATTTGTTTATAATAATATTTATAAATTTTTTAGGTTAAAATGTTTAAAATCCATTAAATAAATATTAAAGTATTAGATCTCAGATGCAACCTGATGCAACTCAGATGCAACCTGATGCTTGGTTAACAGAAAATGAACTCAAAAACTCACATACTGAGTGTATGACAGTGGAAAATGGTATTTCAAATAAAGATCTTCATTTTGGATTTGAAAATGACTTTACTGGACTGATATGTCAAAATATTCCAACAAACGGGGTTCTTTCTGGACATGAATATTCTCTTATACTAGGTTGGAATTATTTTGCTTGTTACATATTTTAACTATTATAATAATTGATAATATTAAAACCTATTATTTATATTATTCTGACAGATTTTCTATGTAAACTAACAATATGAAATTTCTATGTAAACTAGCAATATGAAATTTTAACTAAATTTCAGTAAACTAACAATATGAAATTTCAACTAAATTTTAGAAGAGAAGCTTAAAAAAATTCAGTGCAAAAACAGAAGGGAGACTGGTAAAGATATGATCAAGCATTTACATGATGTAAAAAGTTTACATATGAATGAGTTTTTAAAAAGCGATTTATTGTTAATGGCTGAACCTCATTCTGAAACCACGTTTTTAGATAAACTTTACACCATCAACAGTTTTTACAGACATTTAAATCCACAGCAAGCATTAGAGAGTAATGAGAAACAACCTTTAACAAAGTATGACTATCTTGATGAAATAACGGACCAGATGATTAGAGATGAATTCACGGACCATATGATTAAACCTAAAATCAAAGATCAGAGAGTAGATAATACGAGTTGATTTTTTTGGATTAATTTGTTTTGATTTTTATAAAAAAAAATTTATGAAAAAATGTTTATAAGTAATGGTGGAAAGTTGTTAAATATCTGAGTTTAATTTAAAATGATAGAAGTTACTGTTTTTCTAACCCTTTTCATCAAAAAAGGCTTATTAAACACTCTCTATACCAATGAAAACATCTTTTAAGTATATTGTGCTTTGTAAATTAATGTTTTGAAGAATACAAATCAGTTGTTTTGTCCAAAAAATAAAATACCTTTATTCCTATATACTCTAATTAAGGGTCCTAATGAATCCTATAAGATTTTGGAACAATGTTCGTTTTGACACCTATTAAAAAATATCTTTTATATGGTGTTTAAAATATTTTTTGTGGCTTTAATTATTTTTTTTCAGCTATTAATTTTCAGGCTTTTTTATTTATTTTTAAAATCTTTAGTGTCAACTTTTAAAAAAAAAAAAAAACATTAATATTGAACAGTGGAAAAAGTTACAGAAAAACAAAACAAAAAAGATTTTTTTAATTAATAGATTGCCTGCCCAAAACAAAACCCTCAAACCCAGTCTGACTACTCCTAAAAAAGTGAATAGGTTGATAATCTTTTTTTTTTTTTGAATTATGAATACTTTTGAAATTATGAATAAGGAAATTATAAATAAATTTGAAATGACCTCATAGGGCATCATATAACTGTTTTTGTTGATAATAAAAAAATTCAAATATTTAAAATACCGTTTTTTTCATCTTTTTTTCCTGATCAATTAAGTTTAGCGGTAAAAAAGAGTTGTAAACTAATAGTTTTCTTTATTGATCAATAAAGCATTTTTATTCATTACCATTCATACCATCTTGTTTTTATAACTATAAACAAAAACAAAAAGGGCATCATATAACTGTTTTTGTTGATAATAAAAAAATTCAAATATTTAAAATACCGGTTTTTTCATCTTTTTTTCCTGATCAATTAAGTTTAGCGGTAAAAAAGAGTTGTAAACTAATAGTTTTCTTTATTGATCAATAAAGCATTTTTATTCATTACCATTCATACCATCTTGTTTTTATAACTATAAACAAAAAGTTTTAGAAAAATCTGAGTTGGTCCGCTATACAGTTTATACCCGAAAAAATTAATTGAAGTATCTTACTACAGAGCTCTGTATTAAGATATTTCAATTCATTTTTACCTACCTTAAGAGTTTGACAAAATACTTTTAACTTTTTAACTTTTTTGATAATAATAATTAATGCTGTTGAGATAAAGCGCTAGGCAATATAGGCAGCCGTGGCGCAGTGGTAGCGCACTTGCCTCAGAAACGTAAGATCCGAGGATCAAACCCCACCTCTGGGCAAGTTTTGCGACATCGGTTGGGAAGGAGGCGTGAACTTCCTATTAAATACTCTTCCGCGGTGCTCTGTGATAAGACCGTAAGGACTTCTTGGTGCACCTAAATCAACTTAAAAATAAAAAAATAAATATCTATGACAGCCGGTATAAATTAATTAAAGAACAAGTTAGTTCAGTCACTAAAAAATAAAAACGTTAATAATAAGCTTTCTTGGTTTTTATCTTGTTTGTTATTGCTTCTAAGTCGACCGATTGCAAGTTTAATTTGAAGCTTTTAACTGTAGTAGATTGAAAAACTTCGGCTGGTAGACTATTCCATCCATCAACAACTCTATTGCTGAAAAAATATTGCCTTTTCAAACAATTTCTGACCAATTCAAGTTTTATTCGATGTTTTGCTCCTCTAATGTTAGCTGCAGGACCTGATAAGCAAATAGAGTTCATTGTTTGATTTTGTTTAATATCAATGATTTCAATAGCTTTAAATATTTTGAATTGCTGGATCAAGTCGCACCTTAGCCTTCCAGTCTCCAAATTAGTCAAACCCAAACTTTCCAATCTTTTTTCGTACTCAAGATGTCTTAGCTCCGGTATCATTTTGGTAGCTCTTCGTAGGCCTTTTTCTAGTTCATTAATATCTTTTCTATAATACGGACTCCATGTTTGAATTGAAAATTCTAAATTTGGTCTAACATATGTACAATACAGTGTTTTTATTAGATCTTTATCCTTGTACTTGAATGTATTATTTAGTAGTGAGAGCATACTGTTTGCTTTACTAGCTGCATATTTTACCTGTTTGGCCCATTTTAAATCACTTGATATATAAACACCAATGTCTTTTTCTAGTTTTGACTTTTCAATATCCATTAATGTATTAATGTTGTTCATAAAGTATGAATATTAGTTATTATTTGAACCAAAGTGCATAATTTTACATTTTTCAAAATTTAGTCCTAATTTCTATTTTGTTGACCATTCGTCAAGTTTATTTATATCATTTTGAAACAATTGTGAATCATTTTGAGAAGAAATAGGCGCAATTATCTTATTATCGTCAGCATATAAACGACATTCATTAATAAAATTTTCTGGTAAATTATTTATAAATATCAGAAAAAGGAGAGGACCTAGAACAAACCCTTGTGGTACACCACTAAGTACATCAACCCAATCTGCCACACTTTTACCTAAAACCACTCTTTGTTTTTTATTATCTAAGAAACAGACTATCCACGTAAGAAGTTTACCAGAAATACCAATAGTCAATAACTCGGATAAAAATTTTTTATGTGAAACACTATCAAAAGCTTTTTTAAAGTCTGTGTACAATACATCTACCGGTGTTCCATTGTGGAACGCATTTGTTAATATATCTAGGTATTCTAATAGGTTTGTTGAACAGCTCTTGCTTTTCATAAAACCATGTTGTTTTTTTGAAAGTAAATTATTGTTTATGAGATGTTGCATGATACAATCAGTTATTGTTTTTTCTAACACTTTACATGGTATTGAAGTTAACGAGACTGGTCTGTAGTTAGATGCTTTTAATTTGCTTCCTTTTTTAAAAAGTGGCATTACATTTGCCTTCTTCTACATATCTGGTAGGGTACCTGTTTCCATCGATTTTTTGAAAATTAAGTATAATAGTTATGATATTGACGAGCTCCATTCTTTTTAAACATATGGATGAACAAAATCAAAACCGACTGATTTTAATTTATCAAGTGCTTGAAGTCAAGTTTGAACATCATTTTGTGTTATTAAAACTGTGTTTAATAATAAATTTGAAGGTATATTATGAAACTCAATAATACTTGTACAATTATTATTAACATACACAGAATGAAAATATTTATTTAGTTCAGTAGCTATAGCGAATTGATCATTTATGATTTCCCCATTATCAATTTCCAGAACTCGAGTTTGAGTTTTCACTGATTTCTTCTCATTGATATATTTATAAAGCAATTTAGGATTTGATTTAAACTTGCTAGGTAAAGTACTTTCTAATTGTTTTATATTGTTCTTAATATCATTCTTTATTTTAATTTTTAGCTTATTATACTGAATTTTTGTTGATTACTCATTCCAGCCATTACGTTTATTAGCAAGCCATATATTGCTTTTTGTTCTTATTTTATGTTTCAATTCAGGAGTAATCCATTTGTTTCTGTTCCTTCTATTTTGATAATCAATTTATGGGATAAACAGATTAGTTGCATAATTGTAATGATACAAAAATAAATCAGACATTTTATTTATAGATTTACTTTTAAATTCATTTTCCCAATCCACATTATTGAAATGGCGAGAAAATAGTTCATAATTTCCTTTTTGATATAATCTAATGGATTTCTTATGTTCGGTAGAAGACTTATAATCATTCATTAGATAACAAAACTTTAATAAATGATGACCCTGTTTGACATTCCCTAAAGGATCTGAGTGAGTTATAGAAACAATTTTGTTTTTATTGTTTGTAATAATAAGGTCTAGAATATTAGTTGATTTGTAGTTTGCTATTTGGAATGTTGGCTCACATACACATTGAAACAGAAAACAATCTTCAACACATTAAATAAATTTATTAGTTTGAGATTCATTATCAGTTGCTGAAAAAAGACAATTATTATCAGACCAATCAATTGTGTTAGTTGAAGTCACCTGTAATAATAAGATCGCTGTATTCTTTTTGATAAATACTCGTTTTAGCAGCATTAATAGATAGCAAAACAAAGTTATTATACTAATGAGATATATCTGGCGGTCTATAAATGCATCCAATTAGCATTTTGCTATTTTTAAAACATATACAAATTCATATTTGTTCTATAAAATTATCGTTTAACTGTAAATTATTTGTTTCAAACTGATTAACACATTTTTTTACATAAATACAAACACCTCCTCCATGAGTCTTTCTATCACTTTTAAAAATATTGTAACTTATTATATTTACATTCTGATTCTGCTTTAAACCATGTTTCTGTAACACAAATAACATCCGATTTATATATTTCACATTGTAACCTTAACTCATCAATTTTATTATTCAGAGACGTTGCATTTGTATACCAAAGCATCAGTTCATTGCATTTTTCATTGCACCAATCTTATTATTCATAAGCTGTCTCTTATTGCTCAGCAACTTGTTAAGATTTTGACCTCCACCACTAAACAGCTTTATTTTATTGTTAGTTTCATAGTTAAAGCATCGTATGGGGTTCAAGTCTTTCATTTCTAATATTCTATAATACAACTTTTTCATTTCTAATACCAAAGTAAAAGTTTGCCGTGTCAATATTGTCAATATTTTGTTTTTTTACACTCTTCTCTTAATAGCTTTGATTTGTACCATTTAGATTCAGTCAAATCAGAATTTATAAATACACTTTCGTATGTTTTATCTTTCTTCAATTCCTTGGCATTTTTTAAAACTGAATTACGTTCCAATTTATCATTTAAAACAACAATATATGGAGCTTTATATCCATTTTTTGACTTTTGATAACATTTTTTATTTTGACATTGACTTTCAATTTTTGCATGATTGTTTCAATATTTTGTTTATCTTCTTTAATTGCTTTGACTTTATCACTTAATGTTGATTCCTCTAAACCCAAAATAACCAAGTTATTTTTTCTTTTATCTTTTTCTTTGGTTTCATTTGCGATAGTTTTAATAATTTGCATTTGATCTGGAGTTTTTTTTCTTTACTAGCCCAATCACCTGTCACTGATGGATTAGATTTTGATTAAAATTTTCTAAATCCAGTTCTCTTATTGTATTCTTATTATACTTACAGAACTCTCTTAGTCAAGTTTGCATTATCCGTTCTTAAAGTTTCGATTAACTTTTTTAAATCTAAGATTATTGCTTCTTGCTCACATTTGTAGGTATTGAAATCACCTAATTGCAAGATAACCATTTGGATTACTGGATAGGGGGGCTACCACCATAAATAACAGTGGATTACTTCCTGTTAGTGAAATTATCATGTTATTATTTTTAGTTTTGCTTATTAACGCAATAAAACAAGAGTTATTAAAGCGTTTATTTCCGTCTTATAATAAGTCGATTTGTTGCATAAAGTTTGTATCAAATAAAAACTTCAGTAGAAACATAATTTAATCCATTAATCTTTGCGGACTGAAATAATCAAGAAAAAACTATTATGAAAATTTGTTTTTAGGGATTTTAGTTAATTTAATATGTAATTAAGTTGATAATATATAAGTATAATGCAAAATTTAATTTTTGTTAGAAGCAATTCAAAAATTTATTAAAAACATGTTTGTTTGTTGTTTTTTTTTAAAAAAAGGATAATTGAAAAATGTTTTAACCTAATTTTGAAAAAAAGATTTATAGTTAAAATTTTCCTTTATTTAAGTCAGTCGATGTACACTCCATTGTGCTGGTTACTTTCAGATCAGACGTATGGTTATTATGATTACCCCAACATGTAATCCATTGCAACATTGCTAACAAGTAATCCAGTGCAACCCTTTTCATGTCCTGCTGCCTTGTAAGATTCGCTTTCTAAGCAAAGGCTGCTATCAGTTATCAATACTGTATAATATTTGTGATGCCTATAGTGGTATCTACTTTTGTTATATTGTGATATTGTTAAAAGGGTCCTATATCATCAATTGTCAGAAAAAAGTATTAATATTGTAACTCCAACACAGGCAGGTATTTACAAAACAGTTATCAAAGAAGCTGATAGAATTAATATTTTGATGCCAAAAAGATTAAGCAGAAAGAAATGCAAGTTGTAATTTAAAAAAAAAATCATCAGAAAGTGATAAAATTGATTATTAGTGACATAACAAACACAAATGGCAAATCATTGTCACCAAATATAAACTATTTTTTTGGTTGATAAACTGATACAAAATTATAATTGGTAAAAATTTCAAACAGTCAACGTCAATCATTAGCCGTGGTATGGTGAGATGACATGAAGTTTTTCTGTGAGCTAAGGCATACAGATATTATGTGGAAAAAAAAAGATTTTGCCAAAATTAATTTTAAGGCTCTTCAAATATTATGAATACAAGATAGAATTTAAAATAAATTATAGTATTACTGACACTTATTTTATTGTCAGAACACTGGTTAATGGATGAATATCTGCTTTTCCAATCACCATTATTATAAAACAAACTGTGAAGTTTTATTAGCTGCAGTTAACTAGTATGCAAAAGCAAAAAAAATTTCTTAAAACTTTTTTAAGTGTAATTAAGAAACAGTTATAAACACTGCAAGATCCATTATTTGTGCAGAAAGCGCAGTAAAAACAGTGCAAAAAATTATGGTATATGCAAAAAACTTAAAAATCAATCAATAAAAAACTAAAATTTTGTTATAAAATTATAAAAGTTATACTATTACTAACACATACATATTTTATGAAGCATCACGCATACATATTTTATGAAGCATCATCCATATATACTTTATGAAGCATCACACATACATATTTTATGAAGCATCATACATTCATACTTTATGAAGCATCACACATACATATTTTATGAAGCATCACACATACATATTTTATGAAGTATCACGTATACATATTTTATGAAGCATCATACATACATATTTTATGAAGCATCACACATACATATTTTATAAAGCATCACACATACATATTTTATAAAGCATCACACATACATATTTTATGAAGCATCATACATACATATTTTATGAAGTATCATACATACATACTTTATGAAGCATCACACATACATATTTTATGAAGCATCATACATACATATTTTATGAAGCATCATACATACATATTTTATGAAGCATCATACATACATATTTTATGAAGCATCACACATACATATTTTATGAAGCATCATACATACATATTTTATGAAGCATCATACATACATATTTTATGAAGCATCATACATACATATTTTATGAAGCATCACACATACATATTTTATGAAGCATCATACATACATATTTTATGAAGCATCACACATACATATTTTATGAAGCATCACACATATATACTTTATGAAGCATCATACATACATATTTTATGAAGCATCATACATACATATTTTATGAAGCATCACACATACATATTTTATGAAGCATCACACATACATATTTTATGAAGCATCACACATAAATATTTTATGAAGCATCATACATACATACTTTATAAAGCATCACACATACATATTTTATGAAGCATCATACATACATATTTTATGAAGCATCATACATACATATTTTATGAAGCATCATACATACATATTTTATGAAGCATCAAACATACATATTTTATAATAAGAATTTTATTAGAAATACATGACTTTATATTTAAAAGGTCTAAAACCATTAAAAATTTTGCTAAAATTTCATTTTCTTTTATTTTCTGTGTTTTTGTGCAATGTTTTAAGATAAAAACAAAACATTCTAATATCCAAGTATAATACGAATTAAGTGGATCAATTTATAATCGTTAGCAACAAACAACGTTAGCAACAAACAAAGGCAAATGACATGCAGATTACAGTTTGAGAAGCGACTTATTTTATTGTATTGAGACTTGATAAAAATATTCTGGTAATAACGTTTTTAAAATAATAGTTCAAAACCAAGAAGAAAAAGAAGTATTGGAAATTATATTTTAAGAGACGTGGTATGGTTTATCTTTTAATTCAAATACTGCTTATATAAAATTAGAAACTTATTTTGTGTTTACATTCCTTTCTTTTAACGTTTTAAATAGGTTTATCTTAAAACGTTTTTACTGAAACGTAACGCCAATTTAAATTCAAAACTTAGGAAAAATAATGTAAAACCGAAAAAAAAACTAAAGATTATTATAAAACTTTTACTAAAAATGATAATTAACCTCATAAATATTCTATAAGAGTTTTTAAAAGGAAATCTTTTATAGAAAAACAGAAATTAAATTATTTTCCCATGCAGCACGATTTGTTATGCCTGGGCTAACAAACATTACTTTTGATTGCGTATCGACGTTGCATAAGCATATGCTTGGCTGTTTATTGGGCTGGGAATGACATATTGTTTCATTAGTTTGGCCGTACGTTTGACCACTGTTGACCACTTTAGTATTAAGTAATAATTGTTTTTTTGGCCTAGCGAAGCTTAGTGGTCAGTAATACAAGTGAATTCTTATCGAACTAACGTTGACATTTTACATGATTTGCTAGGTGAACGTTACGTAGATTTACATGATTTGCTAGATGAACGTTACGTAGGCCACGACTGCTCTAATTATTTTACTTCTCAAATTTTTTTGCGTTTTTTTCCTACCAAGCAAAATGCTTCGCTAAAAAAGGTTTATCAACAGAAACCAGCTATTATATAAACCTTTATATAATATAATAAACCTTTCAGCCATAACTAATTACTGTATTTTTATTTTATCTGAATAATATAATTTATTTGTAGAAGGTTTTAGATCTATAATATAAGCAGTGTTACCAGTTAGTTACCAGATTACATGTGGTAAAGTTATTTCTAAAATATTGAATTTTTTTTTTTACAAACAATTTTTTTTTCAATATTTTAGAAATAATTTTACCACTTATATTTTTGAAGAAAGCAAGCGTATTTTTTTTTTCTTGTTATTCATAAATTACAGATAATTCAAATTAAATGCAATTGCAAAACTAACTAACGCAAAAATGCAGTTTGCCCAATGTAACGCACAATGTTGTTTATATAACTTTGTATGCAACTGCTAATTGCCAATACAGTTGCATCAGCAAAATTTTATAGCCAAACAATACAAGATGCTTGAGTTTGTTGATACCATTAATTTTAAACTGTCTTTTCCAGGGTATTTCAATAATTTTTTAATCATAGTTTTAAAAATATTTCATGAACCAATAGTTTCAAAAACATGAAGATCTTTCGAACTCTGTGTTTTCGAACTCATGCATATAAAACTGATAAAATTACAAGCGTTTGATTATCTAATACTTATTAACTTTAAGTCAACAATATTGAATTACAATAAACAATATTGAAAGTTAAAACTTTTAGTGGTAGGTTACATGAAGTGGTAACATGAAGTAATGATAATTAGAGAAACAGAAGAAAAAAGTTTTTATTTTGTGATTGCTTAGCAATAGGTTAATGATTCTCATTTTAAACAGTGGTGGAGGCAAAAAACGTCATGTTTATATTATGACAGTCTTGTTTAACAAGTATTGGTTTAGAGTAGTCGTGGCGCAGTGGTTAGAGTTCTCACTTAGAACCAAGAAGTCCATGGTTTAATTCTGGCTTTGGTCAGATAAGCAACATGGGTAAAGAAGGGGGTGCGAACTTCCCAATTAAATGCTTTTCTGCAGTGCTTTATGATAAGACTTTAACCCTTCTTTATGGTAAGACTGTAAGGCCTTCTTTGAGCACCTAAAATACCACACATAAAATAAAGTAAAAGTGAGTGAACTTGGGGTTATAATAAAATTGAAAGCCTGAATAAAAATTAATAATGATTGACCACATTTTGATCAAAAACGAAAACTGCCAAATAATTAAATTTAAATTTAATTTAATAAATTTAAACCAAATATGACCAAATATTTATATAATAGTTATAAAATTAAAACCTACATTTACACTATAGTCTCGGCGAAAAGCCTAGACAATATCTTGATTTTATTTTAAATTTAAAAATTCTCTTCCTGCTTAAAATAAAAACATTAAAGGATTATTTATAACCAGCGGGTGAAAATAATAAGAAGCTAATAACTGATAAGAAGCTAATACCTAATAAGGATTGTGCCACTTATACAAAAATGCGATCTAACACGCGACGCCAAGCTTATAATAATAATAGTTATTACAATAAAAATTCTGTAAAAGAAATAAGACAATGATGAGACTATATAAAAACAACAATGACATGAAAAAAATATAGTAAACAAGAAAGAGAAATCCCTCTAATGTTAATCACAATGTACCATTAAAAATAACTAATAAAAAGTTACATTTAACAGATACTTAATAAACGTAATAGATTGAGAGCAAGAGAATTTAAAAAAAGGATTCAAAAAGCCAATAAGTAAATCAACTTTAATAACAACAAACCATAAAAACAAAAATAGTAATGAAATATAAAAGGAAAAGTAAGCGCTCAAGAAACAGCTATAAGTAAAGTTTCAAAAATTTTAACTGATATGATACAACTCATTCTCAATAAAATGATTATAATTTCCCATCCAAATTTACCGTTAAAGAAATCAAAACGCTTTTAAATATATATACCTTTTCAATTGCTGTTTTTTATATGAATACATTTATGAACACGAAAATTCTGGACTTATTGGTTTGAGACTAAAGTTACGAACTGTTTTTAGCGGTTTTTTGAAAGTAACGCTTATTGCTTCAGCAATTTCCATTTGCACAAGCAATTTCCAATAACTTACATCTGAAGTCATTTAAAAGATATATTTTGATGAATTAGCAGCCGTGGCGCAGTGGTAGCGTACTTGTTTTGCGACATCGGTTATGAAGGAGGCGTTAACTTCCAATTAAATGCTTATCCGCAGTGCTCTGTGATAAGACCGCTAGGATTTCTTTAAGATGTACTGAAAACAAGTATTAAAATTCACAATTTTTTCAGATTCTTTAATGGCCTGTTTATAATTTTGCCGAAGGATAACTTGATGGTCTAGTTATAATTTTCAACATTTAAGTTATATTCCGTTTTTGATTCAGAAATATTTAAAAAAAATTTTATTATCACATTTTCCTTTACGAAAATTTTTTCCTTTTTTTTTGTAGAAAGTATCCATTACCACCAATTGAATTACGAGGTTCATGCACTGCACTGCATGCGAGCAGGCAGGGCCGCCTAAATCCGTCACGCCATCTGGGATAGCAACCCTGATTGGCGCCCTTATTTATCAATATTTCCCTACATTATATATAAAGAACTTTTTTCTTTTTTTTTTTTTGGTACCTTTTTTTCATTTTACGCCACTTGGATATCTGCCGCCCGGGAGGTATATTTCCATTACGAATATTTTATTTGTTTTTGGGTTTTTCATCGTAAAACCGATTAGCAAACAATATTGGTGCAGTGTTGTAGAGTATGTAAAATATATAAACAATATTGTGTCAATATTGTTTGCTGCTCGGGAAAGTTTATAAATATATTACGAGATAAATGATTTTTACATTTAAACATAAAATATTATAAACATTTAGTTTGAATACATTTAAGGCTTTAATTTCTCTTAGGTTAACGATTTAAAAAATTAATTAAGTGAACTGAATGTTTCTGATGCTGATAAAAAGTTTAGTTTTGTGCTTGCTCTCCCATACAATATTTCCATAACCTGACTCAAGCAAGGGCACGGGCAAGGGATAAACGAATAGTATAATTGTTATACTTGTTATTTATTTAAAATTATAAAGCAAGGCATATGCCGTGCTTTATAATTTCAATACCTTTTGCAACTTTCATAGAGATGTCTCCAATTTTTTGTTTCTAGGTTCATAGGTTTTCGCCACAAGAACTCCGAGAAGTTTTTAACTTTAAAGATAAAGAGGTCAGGCATCGTGTTTAGCTAGTATTTTTTCTAGGTATTGAGTAAGAAAAAGTCCGTATTCTTTTATCAATATATAGCATAAATATGTTTACGTAAACCAATATGAGATTTTAATTAATTATTGTGTCATACTATAAAAAATATATTTGTATTGTGTATAAGTTTTCATGAGATTGAAATTGGTTTGTGTCATCAGCAAAAATTACAGTGGTTAAGTTAGAGGCTTTGTTAAGGTCATTTACATATATTAATATTAATAGGGATCTAACTGTGGATCTCTGCGAGAACCATATGTTACATTCATTAAAAATTGCAAAGAAGAGTCTTTGATACTAACAAACTGCTTACGGTTACTAAAATAGCTTTTGAACTAGCCTAGGGACTTTTCTCTATAATGAGAATTTTTAAACGAATCAGAAATACTGCGTGTTAGTTGGAGTATGACGTGTTCAGTAGAGTTTTTTTCTTTTAAAGACAAATTGGTAGTTGTATGAATGTTTAGTATCAACAGAATAATTTTAGATTCTGTTATACATTATTCTTTCTATTATTTTAGAGAAAACTGGAAGAACCGAAATAGGATGATAGTTTATAATATTGGTATGGTCACCTGATAAAAATAGGAGTTATTTTTGCTATGTGACAACTAAAAATCTGGACAAACTTTGTAGCTACAATTTATATGTCTAACAATGTTTTATAATTTTATAATTCTACCTATTTTGTTACAATTTTATTCCTCTACAATATACCATAGTCTTTTATTTTTAAGAACCTAATTAAATATGTCTAAAAGAATGAAAAATCAAAAGGCACTCCGTAAACGAGTGCACGCTTTTCTGGATTTGCATCCAGAAAAGAACAAAAAAAATTTTGTTAATCATTTTCGTACGGAAAATGTTCCAAAATCAACCATATACTATATACTGCGACAAAGAGATCAATGTAGGACCAGAAAGAAAAGTGGGAAGTGATCAGTGGTCAGGGAGTGGTCGCACTGCTTCAGAAACAGATTAAACGTCTAAAAAAATTGATTGATAAGAAGAACAGTGTTTCACAATGTAACTTAACCAAAAGATCTAGTGTTTCCCAGCAATATATATCC